GAGAAGAGAGGTTTGACACTGATCAAAGAACGACGCAGAGGCCACTGTCTATTCTGCCCAGTGCCTATGGCTGCTTGGCCTGGGAGCTGCACTTTCAGTCCGACTGACCACTACAGGCAAGTCCTACGTCAAACAGCTTAGCCCCACTGCGCCTCAACTGCTTCACATAACTGGCATTTTAATGTATTTGTGAAAGGCTGGGGTATACGAAATGCTAGGAGTGCCACCATGAATCTCAGGGAAATGCCAAACTGAGAGAATGAATCAATAAGCAGGGAAAACAAGCATGGTGGTTTCCATAGATGTGCAAGGATGTGGGCTTTGCAGAGCCCGTGTCCTGGCAGGTCTACCTGAGATTGCTGTGTATTTACCTCTCAGTGAAAGTGAGAGGAACAGATGGATGGGGGAGCTGACAGGAAAAGCAAGGAGACTCAGAGTCGGCAGAGAGTTCTAAATGCCATACATTTATGCTTGCTCAAGTGTTCTCTAGAGACCTCAGAAGCAAACAACCCCTTCCACATTCCCGTTCAGTTGAGTACAGTCCTCCCATGGCCCCAGATTCCCAGCCTAGCACATCACTCTTAGAAGATAGAAAGAGAGGGCTGGGGAGGAAGGCAGGGAGGAAAAAGGAAAGAGAGAAAAGCCAACAGAACTCAGGTTTGAGGAGTGGGCCATCCGAAACTGCCTGCTGTTCCCAGGCAGCTTAAAAGAGAGCCTGACCCTAGGGCTGGACTTTCGAGGTGTGCAGATCCAGAGAAAGGGGCACATTCTGCCCTGTGTGTGTGTGTGTGCAGTCACCCGGACAAACAGAAACCCATTTGTGAGATGGAATTTCGCTGGCAGGCAAGGGCTCTGAGGGGAATGTACAGGGCAGAAACATCTGTCCTTGTGTTAAATGCATCATTCCCGTCTTCCCAACGCTAGGACCATCTGCATGGAGAGGCAGAGACTTCTTACTCCCTTTCTAAACATACTGCAGGATCAATTTAGAGCCCTGGTCTACAAGCGGGGAGGTGATTTTGTCCCCTAAGGGATGTTTTACATGACTGGAGATATTTTTGGTTGTCACAGTGGAGAGGAGTGCGCTACTGGTATCTAGCAGGTAGAGGCCAGAGATGCTGCTAAACATCCTACAATACACAGGACAGCCCACACGGCAAAGAATTACCCAGCCCACAAAGCCAGTGGTACCCAGTCCATAGCACTCTGCCAGAGGCCAGCTTGTGATCACCTTTTTATTGCTGCACCCACAGCAATCTAACAACACCCTATACATTCTCTCATCAAATTTCCTCTAAGTATCCTGACTGGGAAGTGTTGCTAAAATTCTCATACCAAAGATCAAGACTGAGCAGGAGATTCCTTTTAATAGATACCTTGTCACCAAAGTGCTGCACATGACCTTCCTAAGCAACAGAAGCTAATACTGATGCCAGTGCCCACTAGGGAAAAATGAAGAAAAATCAATGCAGCTTGCCCCAGTGATGCTCAACAGCTGTGAGCCAAGTGATTTCTCCAGAGGAATCAAATTCAGTAACAACTCTTTCAAAGCTCAACTTCTTTATCATTCGTAAGTTTTCATTAAGCAACCTTGAAAACCTCGAAGTCCACCATTCCAACCGTGAATTGATCCTAAGATTCTTTCCCCTGCAACAACTTAAAAAAGAAAACACTACTCATAAGTTTCAACCCTGAAGTTGAACAACGATGCCTAGGAACAGTTAACTCAGCAAAGAAGTAAATTTTCTGAAACAAAGCAGGAAGAGACAGAAATTTTGCCAACACATTCCAACAGCAAACATCTAACCCACCAAACAAACAAAAAAGAAAAAAACCAGCACAGAAAAGAGTTACGCAGGAAATAGCTTTTTAAAGAGGGGAAATCTTACTCTGGTTGTCAAGGACAGCTGAACAATGAAAAACTGGGATGCAGACTCGCTGGTGTCATTTGCTCAGGAAGGGTCAGAAGTGGCCACAGGCTGGCTTTCCCTTTGCATCTAGGGCATCAATGCCCAGCCAGCCTGCAGGGTCTCCAGTCCCAACATCTCGAAGGATGGCTGCAGCCTCTCATCTCAAAAGGAATCAGAGCTGCTCTCCCACTGCTGAAAATATTTGAGAAGTGCCAAGCAGATGGTCCCACGCTTATCAGCAGAAGCTTCCAATGGCATCATTCGGTGACACACTCGAGTGAAAATCTTCACGCCAATCCAGAGCGGGATGTGAACTGATGATAACGCAAGGCAGTGGACCACCTCGAACCACAAAGGCCAGCCAGGGCTAAAGAGAAAGATGACCTGGAGAAATGCCACATGGAAGGGCAAAACCACGTGTGTGGTGGAAAGACCAAACCAGCTCAAATTCTCCGCTCAGCTTCTAATTACTCATGTGACCTCTGACAAGCTCTCCAAGACTTGGTTTTCTCACCTGTGAAATGGAGCTAATAATATTACCTTGCCATGTTGTAGTGATGGGATAAGACTCTGTATAGACCCAGAGAGACATGTGGGAGATATGTGGCTAGACAGTTAAGAATTTGCTCCCTTCCTACAACCCAGTTTCAGAGACAATCACGCTCAATGTAGTATATAAGACCCATATGATTCAGTGAAAAGCAAGCCAAGGAGTGGGTTCCAGGGGCGGAGGCAGGGGTCTGCACCATTGGCCATGCCCACACTGCTTCCCAGCCCAGTCTGGGGACTTCTCCTGGGAGCAGCTGTTTCTGTTAGATGCAGACTCTCACCCGTGCAGTCAGGAACATGAGAGCAAATTCCTTTTCCCCTGATCCCTTCTGAGCACTTTTCCTTTTTTTTTTTTTTTTTTTTTTGTTTTTTTTGTTTGTTTGTTTGTTTTGTTTTTTTGTTTGGTTTGGGTTTTTTCTTTTTTTCAAACCAAAAATGGTCAATATGTTACCCATTTTTCAAAGAACCCAATGTGAAGCACCAAAGGCTGAGCAGGAGAATTCTGGATCTCTCGGATCTCAGGTAGCCAAGCCTGAGATCTCAAGCCTGAAGACCCACCCCTCAATCATGGTAGCATTTTTCTTATGTAAAGGGATTCCTTCATAGATACTGTGCCAAATTATTAAGGGACCCTGGGGACTGATTATATCAAAACGGGTAAGAAGGCAATTTCAGACTCTGTGGGAAAGCAGCCACAGGCACCCACAGATGAAGTTTCCCTCTGACCGTTTTCGTAAGCAGTAAGACCACAGTCCCAGGGCACAGCCAAACTCCTCTCGTGGGAAGCCTGACCAGCAGCTCGAGTCCTCCCAGAAGGAAGAAGAAAGGGGGGGAAGGAGAAAGCTTCCCCTGGAGCCAGCAGGCATCTACTGGGCAGGCAGTGCTGAGCACCAAATCAATAGAGCAGGTGATTTACTGGTCTGTTGATTTCAGCAAATCAATAGACCAGCAAGTCCTGAAGTTGGAGAGGTGTTCTCATTACCTGGTTCTGATGTTCCAAGGAAGGAGAAGATCAGCCTCCTGGAGAACTTTAGTTTCCCAGAGGATGGTCAGAAACTGAAAGGAAACAGGCACCAGCTAAAGCAAACTGCAAGGCAGAAAAGAGGGAGTGCCTGGCGGGAAAGGATCAGACCCACGGCAGAAAACGCAAGTAGGAGAGAAAGAACAGGCTGCCCAGGAAGGTGCCAGTCCCAGCAGGGGAGGAAGAGACCCTGAAGGAAACGCGGGATGAAGGAGATGGGATGGGACAGAGCGATCCTCTCTGCTCCACGTTCACTGCTTCTCAGAGCAGGGGCTGTCTAGATGTTATGAACATTTCACCCTGTCCTCATGGGTGCTGTGAAACCCTGCATGGTGACCAGCTAGAAGGAGGACGCCAACGTCATTACGTAAGTCAACAGAACTGAGGGCCTCACCAAGTTGCTTTTTCCAGTGCCTGATAGAACAGAAGTCTGTCCACACAGGCAGAGGACAAGCTGCCCAATGTGGAAGTTGATAATGGTCGCAAGGTGAATGAAGAGCAAGACACCATGAAGCTGGGGTGGCCCGATGGCTTCTAGGTAGGGAGAAAGTCTCTAAAGGGGCTGGTGGCCGGCTGGGGGAGCCTGAACGAGGTGGCTCCTTTGCCCCCTGCTTGAGTGGGTGGCGGAAGTCCCCAGTTGTTTTGTGACTAATTGGCACCACCAACAAAGCAGGAACTATCGCAGATGGAGAGGGAGTCGCATTTGTGGTAAATGATTTATCCTTAGAGAAAATACAGCAACTCACAGTAAAAATAAAACTGCTTGCATTTAAGCCACAAATAGGTTGGCTATTTCTGTGCTTGGTTTGTCTTTGTGAGTAATCATTCTTTTCTTGAGAGGTGGGCAGAGTTGCGGGGAAGGAGGTGTATTAACAGTGGGTAACAAAGCAACCAAACCTGGGAAAGAGGAGGGTCTGGAGCTCCAACTTCCGGCGGAAGTTCTGGCATCCACCTCCAAGTCAAACCTTCCAAAGTTCCCTAGAAAAACAACATCCCTCTTTCTCCCATCAAACAACAGAGAACCATAATGAAGAGGGCCTGGTGAAGAGCCTTATGGGAGCAGGGAAGAAGGAAACATATTTACCCACAGCCACGCAGTGGACCCATAAAAGTGGCAGTAGGCACAGTGGTAGGTCCCTAAGTAGTAGAGCCTCTAAGTAGGATACAATGGAAGAATCCCTAAGTAGACCGTAAGACAGAGAGTCCTTTGGCAGACCAGTAAGTGGTAGAATTCCTTTCTTCCATCAGTGCTTTTCCCTAAAGCCCCAAAGTGCCATGGGGTCTTCACTCAGCACTAAACCCAGGGAAGTCTAAAGAATTCAAGTCACATCCTAAGATATGTTCCTTATCTGGAAGGAACTCGTCCATGTCCTCCATGCCAAGCCTGTATTCCGGGGGGATGACCATTAAATGCCTCACAAAAGCCCAGCACTCCCCTCCGTGTTAGAAAGATGAAAAGTCAGGGGGCAGGGGGCTGGGCTGCAGGGATGGAGGGAACGGTCAGTTGCTGGAGTACTCACTTTCACAGAAGACAGCTCCAGAGTAAGAAGTGGAAACAGAAGGGCCGCAGAATGGCAGGCAGCTGGCTTAGAACACATGGTCTCGGTTCACCATTCAGAAGCAGAACAGCTTCAGGTATGCTAGAAATTTAGACTTGCGAACTTGACGGGAGTGATGAGTGATTCTTTATCCCATCCGTTTGATTGACAGAGTCTCAGAGCGGGACTGGTCTGCCCTCTGCCCTCTGGAGCTGCAAAAGAGGCTTCAGATCTCACTGGTCAGATAAAAGCCCAAGATAAAACCCTGAGAACAGAACCGTCTCAGGCTGATCAGATCCCCATCAGCCTCAGGGAATCTTCTCCAGGCTTCTGCTAGCCAACTCCCCCATGGAATTGGTTGGGTCTGACCCCAGCAATAATCTTTAGACTCAGCATACATTTCTTAAACATCAGATCTGAAAGAGAAATGACATCTTCCCCACCATGTGCTTGGTTTCTTCCAACTAGTCAGGTCCACATGGGGGGCACAGTGAGAACGCCACAAAGGGCAGAAACTGTGTAGGTATGAAAACAGGGAAGCAAACCCACTGGATGCAGTGTGAGTAGCCTTCCAAAAGGAAGGGCCCAAACAGAGCACGGCTGCAGATGAGAACTCATCACATGGGAGGCTTTGCTTCCAGCTCCCAGAGCCCCCCAACCTCCCCTCAATCATACGAATCTGCCCAGAAGGAGACTTCTCATCTGGCACAAGTGCCTTTGCGGAGCAGTGAGGAGGATGTGAAGTGACTCAGAAGGAGGCAAGCATCCCTAATCCAGGACAGCCCTTGCACTGAGGAGCCGGGGGAGGCTCAGCGAGCTGCTCCCTCCTGCAGGAGAGCCTGAGCTGCTGCTGTCGCCCCAGAGCCCATCGCAGAGGACAAACCACACCTCACTAGCTCCAAAAGGAGAACTCCCAACTAATATAGCTCAAAGGAATAAGAAAACAAATAAATGCCTTTCTGAGTCCTCCAGAATCACCCAATGTCATGTCTACAGGGCTGGCTAAAGTTTGCAGTGGGAGAAAATAATTCGAATATAAACCAAGCATGGTGTGAGGCAGCCTGGGCCAACATAGTGAATGAAGATGGGGAGGGGATAGGGGTGGCACCGGGTGCCAGAGCAGGGTGAGGATGGAGAGAAAAGGAGAAGGGCGCACTCCCCCGGTGCCGGGGAGCCCGGGGTCTGCCTGAAGAGACTCACATGCTCTGATGGCTTGGGAAAACACCCTTACCCTGGCTAATTTTCCTCTCTTCTTCTCCCCTCTTTCTCTGGGAATCTTTGAAAAAAGTGTCCCTGAGGGAAACCAGTGCCAGAGCCCATGACAGATGATCTTGCTCACAGGGACATCCCTAGAGAAAGTTTGCAGTTAAGTCACGGGCGAAAATATACGAGCACTTCACGATGACTCGCTCTGTCCGATCTGAGAGCTCACCTGCACTTCAGGTGTGTGTATTCCCATCTGTCTCTCCTCCAGCTGAGCACCATCTGGACTCACAGAGCTAGAGAGGAAGTCCTCAGAATTCCTTTGGTTCTTTACTCCTGGGAGTCACAAGGACATTTCTTAAGTGCTGAATATTATCCCCATTTTACAGATGAGGAAAGTGAAGCTTGCAGGGTTTAAGTAACTTGCCCTAACTCCCTTGTCAGAGCAAAGAGGGAGTGACTCCAGGGTGCACAATCCCCACCTACACCTAGGACATAAAGGCTGTAAACTATAAACTCATCTCTATTCTCTTTTTTTTTTCTCCTCTTCTTTTTTAAATCTCATTTTTCTCTTTATTTTCTAAATTCAGAACACCACACCAGAAAGTTTTTTCTTGAAACAAGTTTGGAAATTACTGTGGAGTGGGAGATGTTCAGCAGCGAGTGCTCATACTTAGTAAATTCATAGCAAGTCACTGCATGCCCGTCAGAGCGCTTCCAGCTCAATATGAGAATAAACGACGGGTAATGCACACCCAAAGGTATTTTATGGTATCTCTGATTTGGGATGTAGGCTAGATGTCTGAAGCCTTATAGCTTATTAAAGGAGGGTTTCGAGTTAAAGTGTTGGACTCCACTTGACTTAAAGATTTATTACAAAGCTACAGTAATTAAGACAGCGTAGGCAGGGTGCAGTGGCTCATGCCTATAATCCCAGCATTTTGGGAGGCTGAGGCAGGCTGGTGTTGGCAAAAGAATAGGCAAATAGATTAATGAAACAGAATAAAGAGTACAGTTATGACACACACATATGACAAGATGACTTTCAAAAAGGGTGACAAAACAATTCGGTGAGGAAAGCCAAGTCTTTATGGAGCAGATGAATATTCACAGCGATACAAGTGAACCGGAGCTGCTACCTCACACTGCATACACAAGTCACGTTGAGAGGGGTCACAGATGTGAGTATAAAAGCTAAATCACAAAGCTTCTAGAGTGAGCAAGAGAATGTCTTCCTGATACTGAGATAGACAAAGATTTCTTAGGATACAAAAAGCACTAACTATAAACAAATGATAAAATAGGCTTTATTAAAATTTAAAACGCCTGCTCAACAAAGACACAAAATTTCTAGGCAAGCCACAATCCAAGAAAATTCTTGTAAAACATGTCAGACAAAGGACTTGTAGCCAGAATATATAAAAACTTCCTACAATTTGTAAAAGACAATATAGCTTTTTCTGAAATGGACAAAAGTCTTAAACAAATACTTTATAAGTGAAGATAGACAAATGGCCAAGAAGCTCATGAAAAAGTATTCAGTAGCATGAATCACCAGAGGAAGGTAAGTTAAAACTGTAATAAGATACCATTTCATACCCACTACAATGTGAGTACAAAGGTTGTTCACACCAAATGTTTGTGAAGATGTAGAATGATTAGAACTCTAATATAGCTCTGGTGGGAGTATCAATAGCACAGCCACTCGGGGAAATTGTGTTAGTTTCCTAAACATTAAACACACGTCTACCCTATGACCCAGAAATTTCACTCTTAGGTATTTATCCATCAGAAATTAAAGCCCATAGCCACAAAAAGCCTTGTGTAAGAATGCTCATGGCCACTGGGCGCGGTGGCTCACGCCTGTAATGCTAGCATTTTGGGAGGCCGAGGTGGGCAGATCACCTGAGGTCAGGAGTTAGAGACCAGACTGACCAATATGGAGAAATCCCGTCTCTACTAAAAATACAAAATTAGCTGGGCATGGTGGTACATGCCTGTAATCCCAGTTACTCAGGAGGCTGAGGCAGGAGAATCACTTGAACCTGTGAGGCACAGGTTGCAGTGAGCAGAGATTGCGCCACTGCACTCCAGCATAGGCAACAAGAGCAAAACTCCATCTCAAAAAAAAAAAAAAAAAATGCTCATGGCCATTTTATTTACAAAGATAAAAATTAGGGCTGGGCACAGTGGCTCACACCCATAATTTCAGCATTGTTAGTGGTCAAAGTGGGTGGATCACCTGAAGTCAGGAATTGGAGACTAGCCTGGCCAAAATGGCAAAACCCCATCTCTACTAAAAATACAAAAGTTAGTTAGTCATGGTGATATGGTCCTGTAATCCCGGTTACTCGGGAGGCTAAGAATTGCTTCAATTACATGAGAATTGCTTGAACCGGGGAGGGAGAGGTTGCAGTGAGCCGAGACCGCATCACTGCACTCCAGCCTGGGTGACCGAGCAAGACTCCATATAAAAAATAATAAGAATAAAATTAAATTCAAAATAAATAAATAAAATTAAAAATTAGACACAGCCCAGAAGTTCATCAACTGGAAGCCGGATCAACAAATTGAAGATCATTCATATATAGAACAATGGAATGTGATTTGCCAACAGAAGGGAGCAACCCACAGATACAAATGCTTACGACAACATGGGTAAGTCTTAGAAGCATGAGGCTGAGTGACGGGCTGCACACGGAACACTAGGTATACACTATCTGAATCCGTATGTGTATATGAAGTTCTAGAAGAGGCAAACTTGTCTATGGTGATGGGAATCTGATCATGTTTTCCTAGAAGTGGCAGATTGACCAGGAAGACACACCAGGGAAATTTCTGAGGTGATCACATTCTATATCTTGAAGGTATGGCCAAGGTAGACATATGCATTTATCAAAACTCACCAAACTCAATAACTAAGATCTGTGCATTTCACTATATGTACATTTTATACCTCAATAAAAGTATTTCTTAATTTCAAAAAGCATTGTAGCTGAGCTTAGTCATTGAAATCTTCACACTTTTTTTCCCTTAGTGGCTAAGGAAAGTGATTTGCTACAAAATTACAAAGTATGCATGGACATACTCATACAGGAGCATACACTTACATAATGTCAAACTGAAATGCCTTCTTTGCAAACTATAAGAATTCTGAATTTATTTTTTCAATAATTTCAAATTACATGCTAAAGTTACATGTTGTATTGTGACCCCCATTTCTCCGCGACTGCCTCACACCAAAATTATTACTAAAGCAGCTTACGTTGTGAGCTGCAAGCCTTTTGGGAAGTAAGGATAGGTTTAAAAATGAATTACAAATAAAGGGTTTTGATACCAGCCTAAAGCATCAGAGCATTATGGCATTTTTTTTGTTTTGTTTTATATGGAGTCTTGCTCTGCTGTCCAAACTAGAGAGCAGTGGCATGACCTCAGCTCACTGCAACCTCCACCTCCCAGGTTCAAGCAATTCTCCTGCATGATCCTTAGCCTCCTAAACAGCTGGGACTACAGGCGTGCACCACCTTACCTGACTAATTCTTGTATTTTTAGTAGAGACAAGGTTTCATCATGTTGGCCAGGCTGGTCTCAAACTCCTGGCTGCAGGTGATCTGCCCAGCTCAGCCTTTCAAAGTGCTGGGATTATAGGCATGAGCCATCGCACCCAGCCACATTACAGTACTTTAAACCAACTAGCCTCATCATGCTTCCCAAAACTCATCCTGGATTCTGCTGGCCGTTTTATATTTATTATCAGTAAGGAGTGGCTCAAGATCCAGGTTAATAGGGATGAACACGCTTAATACATAGAAAGCCCATGCAAATTGTTAAGAAAAAAACAGTAAGACTCCAAATAGGAAAATGGGCAAACAAAGGATAT